ACATCTCGAAAGTATAAAAAACTGCTAGACCAGATATAGGCCGTCCAGTCTTATTAATCCCTTCATCAGTCCTACCGGTGCTCATTCAGTCAAAAACAGGGCAGTAGCGATAGCAGAACTACAATACTGATACTAATTTTTGTTCAATCGATGGTTTGCGACGGGTAAAAACCGTCGTACACCTTCGCCTCGTCATAACTCTTGTAGAAATAGTTCACGCGATTTGAAAAGTACACCAGCTGATAGCTCTGCTCAAGATTTACAAGATGCGATATTTCAACATCCGAAAAAGCTTCATATAGGATTGCAGTAGAGGTAGGCCCATTATGTGACATCCCCCACTTTTAGAGGAAATGTTTTGTGGAAACCTGAGAAGATAGCGAGGAAATCTCTCCACCGGTGTAGACTACGGTTACCTCTCTGTAGGAATTATGTAAAATATTTGGTCGCAGACGAGGGCTCCTTTCGTGGCGTGACCCCGAACATCACTGCTCGTCATGTCCTTGTGATATAATCAGTATTTTTTGCTTGCCCAGAAAGACTTTGGAACCTGAAATGTGCATAATTCGAGTTTCCATGGAAAACACTATCGAACGGTGTACAACATAGTGCACTCGAAACTTTGTTTTTTCACCTTTTTCTCCCCATTGGCGATCGCCATTCCAATCCTTGGCGGCCACGTGCCATTCATGTGCACCTACCCTACCGACCCGTTACACTTCTCATCTCTCTCAATTGACTATTCAATTAATTACTACTTATGCCCAATTATCATTTGAAAAAGGTAAAAAGCTGATACTCAAGTCGACGAATTTTTTTCCCTCGACAACTCCAAAGCTAATCTACTGAACTCGCAGTGACTGAAGGCAGGCTAGACTGGACGGCGTGTGGTCGATTACTCGATCCCCTGGCCGTGCTTGTGGAAAGCGCCGTTTCTGCCACTCCGTCAGCTGCATATAACCAAAAATGATCAAGAATCCTTCTTACTATGAAGCGTTTCGTCTGTGGTTCTGTATGTCTGTCATGATGTTCCCTAACTTCTGGGGATCGGCCTGGAGAGATCGGGTAAAGTGTGGGATGGGTGGACAATGTCTCGCTAAGTACAAAACAGACAGCAGCTAGGTAAAGCCTCGCCTAGAGTGGGCGTGGCGTGCATCGAAATGAGTGACGCTGACGACCAGGATTTCGGAAAATATACCAAAAAAGCCCTTTGGTGCACGCTCCACCCACCGGTAGCAATTGGCCCCTCTTCCATTGGAGGACTCACCTCACTTTTCTCCTGGTCCCAAGGGCTTCTTAGAACCGAGTTATGAATTTTTGTTCGCCAACTCCGCCCAGTTTGATCATGCCTCGCCCACCGCCGACAGTTGACCTCCGTCTCACAGTTGCCCGAATTATGAGAGACTGTAGAAAATGCCGTACTCTTCAGAGCGCGCTCCGCCCATTTTGGGCGGGCCTCCACTCTCATCATGTATGCTGAGATTACCTTAGGCATTGCTTCCCTGCACCAATTTTTTTCTTCTCTGTAGGCCTTCTCCTAACCGAATCATCAATTTTTTTGTTAAGCACTGCTTAATATGAGAGCGCCCCACCTACCCGGGTTAGTTCTCCTCAGTTCGATCTAACTTACCAACGCACACCTTTATCTACGTTTTCTCCCCCAGTTTCAAGGCTTTTCTGGTATAGTTTCCGAAATCCTGGTCGTCAGCGTCACTCATTTCGATGCAAGCCACGCCCACTGAAGGCGGGGCTTTGCCTAGCTGCTGTTTATTTTGTACTTCGCGAGACCTTGCCCACCCATCCCACACTTTACCCGGTCTCTCCAGGCCGATCCCAAGAAGTTAGGGAATTTCATGACAGACATACAGAACGACAGACGAAACGCTTCATAGTAAGAAGGATTCTTCATCATTTTTGGTAATATGCAGCTGACGGAGTGGCAGAAGCGGCGCTTTCCACAAGCACGGCCAGGGGATCGAGTAATCGACCACACGCCGTCCAGTCTAGCCTGCCTTCAGTCACTGCGAGTTCAGTAGATTAGCTTTGGAGTTGTCGAGGGAAAAAAATTCGTTGACTTGAGTATCAGCTTTTTACCTTTTTCAAATGATAATTGGGCATAAGTAGTAATTAATTAAATAGTCGATTGAGAGAGATGCGAAGGGTAACGGGTCGGCGAGGTGCACATGAATGGCACGTGGCCGCCAAGGGTTGGAATGACGATCGCCAATGGGGAGAAAAAGGGGAAAAAACAAAGTTTCGAGTGCAACCTGTGTTGTACACAGTTCGATAGTATTTTTCATGCAAACTCGAATGATGCACATTTCTGGTTCCAAAGTCTTTCTGGACAAGCAAAAAAAAACTGATAATATCACAAGGGTATGACAAGCAGTTTGGGGTCACACCACGGAAGGAATCCTCGTCTGCGACGAGATATTTTACCTAATTCCTACAGAGAGGTAACCGTAGTCTACACCGGTGGAGAGATTCCCTCGTCATCTTCTCAGGTTCCCACAAAACTTCCACATAACATCTCCTCTAAAATTGGGGAATGTCACATAATGGGCTTACCACTACTGCAATCCTATATGAAGCTTTGACGGAAATTGAAATATAGCATAGCATGATTGAAATATAGAAATATCTATCAAATTCTACCCCAAACTGCTTCGAAGGTTATGAAATAAGGGAATGCAACCTTTTCAGTGATGGCGTAGATTTCGGCGGTTTTTCCTTCAGGTTTTCGGCAAATCTGACCCAGTGACAATCGCGCCGCAGCTGCCGTCGAATCGGCCGTTGATTGATACTTCCGGCTGTGTTGATATACTCAAGCAGGGATTAAGATTAACTCGCAACCCCGTGCCTTCAGGATTTCTTTGCATTTCTAGAAGAACCTGCCTTTGAAAGCACACAAAGTTAATGCGTCTTTCCTCGAGTCTACATTTTAGCAAATACACGAAAGTGGGCAGCGATGAAAAAAGTGCATGGAAGACAAGATAAGGTGTCCATAACATTATTTTGCAGAATTTTTTCGATTAGTCAATTGAATTGATATGCTCTGTTACGAGTAAGTAAGACGACCTCCCTAAATCAGAGGTCGTGCCAGGACCTCGATTTCAGGGGTCGTACTTCTGCGATTCACGTCCTCGACACGATTCTCACTCTGGTATACTCGATATGCACGCTATGCATCTCTGCTTTCGCTCCTTCCTTAATAAGACTTAGTCCTAGTGCTCCCCCAAACGCGTGAGAGTCCCAGAGAAACCCAAAGTAGTGCTTTTCTGTCTGGGCTCTCATGCGTGGTTGACCACCGCCGCGTAAGCTGGCGAAGGGCTCTAAGGGAGGCGCTGCAAAATCATCAACGAGGTAGCCAAGAGCTGATCTCAGACTGGAAAGATAATGGCAATAGGCGAGGCGAGACAGTTTAGACGCGGGGTTGCAATAGTTTTCATGGAATAACGTAGTCAGTTCAAGCATATTAGTAGCTTTACACCATGGTTAGACTCGCCACAGAGAGGCGAGGCTGCTGTAAAGATCTTTCCATTTACCTGCCTTTCAAGAAATTTAATGGCGCTACGGTTTGCGACGCTACCAGAACAGTCGCGACGCTACAGAACCGTCGCAACGCGTAGATGTTTACAAAGTTAGGAGCAGTATTGTACTTACAAGTGTTATGTGGGGTGGTCCCAGGACATTGTTGGCACGAGACAGAAGTGGTTACAACTGATAAAGGCTGATAAAGCGACGCAAATGCAAAAGTCGTCGATTCCGTTACCCAGCTTGCGTTGACACTAGAGTGGTCTCTACTTACGAATTCTGTTCGTTGCGGTATAGTGCACATTGTATTGATATGACCAGCTTACTTAATAGCAGCCGATTGCATAAACTCAGCCAAGTCTCTAGCAAATGATAAGTTTCATTTCTTAAACAGTATCAAAAAGCCCAATCTCAATGAACCGCTAATCCTTCGGGTTTCTAAATAATGGTGAGTGTAAAGAAATGATAAGCCTTAGCTCCTCAAGCTCCTCACTTGTGTAATAGACATATTCCGTTTTCATTTTGAGACTGACAGTAAGAAAATCCTGTTCACCGCTAAATTATCGAATTCGAGAAAAAATGCTGGATGTTTGCCGTTGTGATATAATTATGCCAGTTCAACTTGTTTTGTTTGTTAACTGCTGTTTTTAAGGCCGCAGTTCGCGTTGCGAATGTTTCACAAGAATAGCTGGGTTGTGAACAAAACTTTCGCCCAGGCGGGACTAAACCCGCACCTCTCGCCTTCCGGGCAAGTGCGCTTACCAGTTACGCTACCGGAGCGTAACTGGTAGCGCATTGCCGCGAAGGCGAGAGTGCGGGTTCTAGTCCCGCCTGGGCGAAGTTTGTTCACAACCCAGCATTCTGTGAAACATTCGCAACGCGAACTGCGGCTTAAAACAGCAGTTAACAAACAAAACAAGTCAAAATTCATCGCTAAAGCTTTTCAGCCTCGCGGTCTTGCCGATATCGGCTAAGCCGGCTCAACACGTTAGACGTGTGAGTGCTGAAAGCTATGGTACGTATACCATGAAAAGCTGAGTTGGAATAAATGGTGCCCCGGAGCGTAACTCTGTAGCGCACTTGCCCGAAAGCGAGAGGTCGCGTTTCTAGTCCCGCTGGGCGAAAGTTTGGTCAACAAAAAACCCAGCATGTCGTTGTGAAACATTCGCACGGAATGCGGCCTTAAAACAGCACAGTAACAAACAAAACAAGTTCAAAAATTTTCCATCGCTAAAGCTTTCACCTCGGGTCATTGCGATATCGGCTACCGGCTCAACACGTTAGACGGTGTGAGTGCTGAAAGCTTATGTACGTATCCCATTGAAAAGCGAGTTTGGAATGAAATGGTGCCCCCGGTAGCGATAACCGGTACCGCACTTGCCCGGGAAAGCGAGCAGGTGCGGGTAGCTGTCCCGCCTGTTGGGCGGAAAGTTTTTGTCAACAACCAGCTTCTTGTGACACATACTATGCCAGTTCACTCCATACGTTAGCACGCTGCGGGTTCTAAGTCCGCCTGGCACGGTTTGTTCACAACCCAGCATTCTGTGAAACATTCGCAACGCGAACTGCGGCCTTAAAACAGCAGTTAACAAACAAAACAAGTCAAAATTCATCGCTAAAGCTTTCAGCCTCGCGGTCATTGCCGATATCGGCTAACCGGCTCAAACGTTAGACGTGTGAGTGCTGAAAGCTATGTACGTATACCATGAAAAGCTGAGTTGGAATGAAATGGTGCCCCGGTAGCGTAACGTCGGCGCACTTGCCCGAAAGCGAGAGGTCGGGTTCTAGTCCCGCCTGGGCGAAAGTTTTGTTCAAACCCAGCATTCTTGTGAAACATTCGCAACGCGAACTGCGGCCTTAAAACAGCAGTTAACAAACAAAACAAGTCAAAATTCATCGCTAAAGCTTTCCGCTCGCGGTCATTGCCGATATCGGCTAACCGGCTCAACACGTTAGACGTGTGAGTGCTGAAAGCTTATGTACGTATCCCATGAAAAGCTGAGGTTGGAATGAAAGGTGCCCCGGTAGCGATACCGGTACGCACTTGCCCGGGAAAGCGAGAGGTGGCGGTTCTAGTCGCCGCTGGGCGAAAGTTTTGTTCACAACCGCACATTCTTGTGAAACATATGCCAGTTCACTCCATACGTTTATCACGCGTATTCTATGGACTTCAGCGAAACTGGGAAAGTTCTAACACATCATCGTAGGTGTTAAAGGAGGGCTTCATGCTGATGTTCCATGGGACCTCCAGTTTCGTTATAAGATGAAGGAGCGACGGATCGCTCAAGCGATGCGAGCGGCGGAAGATTTACCCGAGCTACGCCGTGTGTATCGTTATTCGGCGGGGTAAATCTCCTGTCGCTCGCATCGCTCAAGCGACCCGTCGCTCCTGCAGTTGGTGCAAAACCGCTCCAATGGCAAAGTCTGACATCGGCCATAGCGGGCGGAGCAAAACTGGTAAATAAATGACGCAGTACGTGATGTAATCAAGTATTGGCGGCAGCACTGTCCCTTGCTCGTTCCAACCTGCCGCTGTGACGTCACATGCCGTCAATAGCAAGCGCCCGCACCGCCGGGGGGTCTTTTTATGTATCACGGAGCCGTGCTTCATTCACTCCCATACAATCCCGAAGTTCATTCCTTTCTGAGCTCCGCCACGGCCAGTGGCCCGCCCCCCGCCGCAGCGTCTTTCGATTATCGTTTTGATGAGGTATTCCGCTGTGAGTTCATATCCCATAACTTTCCCATGGAGAGCATTACCAATCAAAGCATGGCCTTGCTGGTATGATGATGACTATTGGTTCAACATGTGCAAGACCTCTCAACCGGTTGCTAGCTCGTCCGTTATCGGAGGTCAACGGGCAAAAAAAGGTCCCATTTTGCGCCTCCTAGACAGATTTCTTTGCTTATTTCGTCTTCGGGGCATTATTCAGCATCTCCACCTCTATAATGAACCCAGTCCAATCTTATCGTAGTCCCTCGTCTTAAAGGAGGAATTCACGATTAGAATGAAGGTCGAAGAAAGGGAAACTGACCTAGTTGAGGGACCCACGGACCTTCTGAGGGTGCGAACTGACGCGCAATTCGCACGGAAAAATTTGACCTCGGCGACCTATCATGCCTCAAAGCTGGCGGATCCGGCGATCTCCGCCCACCGATAATGTGATTCAATACGTGGCGAGTGATTAGATAGCTGAGAGTGCGTAGTGTTGAAAGGACACAGCGATGAGAGTTTGTCGTCCTCCATCGTGAATTCGTCCTTTAAAGCATTATAAAATCAATCCCAGACTAGCCCTTTTAGGATAGCACACCCTTATTTTTACTCTTTTTAGTGTTTCCTAGTTTCACTGAAGCCACTACTAACCCTTTCTTTCTACTACCAATTTTCTCCACAGGCTGATATAGCCGACTTTCTGAAGTGCGATTTGCTTGTATTCGATTACCCTGGTTATGGGGTCAGCGATGGAGAGGCCACAGAACAATGCATCTACGATAGTGTCGAAAGAGTTTACAAGTAGGCGCTTTATCCTTTTCGGCAAAATTTTCCATTAAGAACACAAAATCTGGCAGGAAGTAGCTTATTCCATGTAGAAAGCCTCCAAATTTCAGGTATGCGATCGAAGACTTAGGCTATGTTCCTAAGGACATTGTTCTCATAGGCTTCAGTCTGGGCACGGCCGCTATGGTGCACATTGCATCAATAACACCAGATGTGAGCTACATTTACTACTGATCCTTGTCAGGTAGAATTTGTTGCCGCCGCGCGCGATGAGATGTTGCGACAATCATCAATTGCGTAGCCTACCGTGTCCAAACCGCAACAGGAGTAAAAAGTTTGAATGGTGCAAGATCAAAACTCTTCCCAAAAATCAAGCGCCATCGATAAATTTCGCTTGTTTCAAGCACGCTCAACTGTCCACTAAAGCTATTCGGACGGCAAAGCCGTAGCCACCTCTTGCCTCGCTCCCCTCGTGCCGCTCTCCTCCATTTGATGGCCATGACTTAGCGCGGAAGAGGGCTGCCTAAAGCGCAAATAGTCTCAGCATCAATAATGTATTATGTAGAAACAGCCAGATGATGGTAATGGTGGTCGAGAGTGGAGAAGGGAAACTCCAGATAAGGGTTGACTGACTGTTGGGATGTAAGTGAAAATCTATTCCGTGGATAGGATAGAGTAGCTAGCACGCGAGCATCACAGGTGTATCGTTGTCGCTGTTCGACACTGCGCTACAGCCGCGCTGAGCCTTAAATAGTGAGCTAATGGCGATCAATATGGGCTGGTGGACGAGATACCTAGCGCGCGCTCCATGGTGCGAAATGGAGATTACGGCACAGCGGCTAATTCAATTAAGCTTGGGTTATTTTAGCCATGGAGCAAGCTTTCCAGAAAACTCGTCGAACAAATCCGGCTCTCATTCCAAGAAGGGGTCTTGTTTACAGGTTCCATCGGCGGTTGCTCTGCTTCATTTTTCATTTTAAAGGCAAAAGTCGGGCTTACTAAGGGGGTATTATGGCGATTGAAACTGAGTATAGAGATGCGAATTGGAAAGACGGTGGAGAAAAAACTGAGAAAAACTGTCGACAAGGCCGTTAACAAAACCCTCTTTCCCATTAGCAGTGAAAGAGGCCGGCTTGGGGAAAGAGGCACGTACAAACAAGTTTTCTGGATATGTCAGTCATTCATCGGTTGATACGGCAATCAACCTAGCTGATTCCACACGTTATGCCAGCCACGCACCACTTCCGGAGGTGGGTGGTGCCGGACTGACGAAGCGGTCCCGGATTGGAACCGATGGCCCCGGAGGCTTAACGACGTTTTTCAAGGTGGAAAGTTGCTGCAATGTGTGTAGCTACCCACATACAACCTCCAGGCACGGGAATTACTCCTCTAGCGCGACTGAGCCCGACCTTTGCCTTTAAGTCAACTCGTCATCCACAGTTCCACTATCGACCGCTCGGCTGTCGCTTCGAGTCAGGCACGAAGCACGCCTGAACGAACTGCGGAGCGACCGTTGCACGGTGCGCGAGCAACAGACCGTGGTCATTCCCACGGTCACCTGAGCGCTGCGCACATTTCAGAATTGTTACGAACCCCTGCCTTCAGAGGGCACCAATACGACTACTAGTATCAGTTAATTATTTTTTACATATTTTCATGGTCAGCATCGATGTATGGGCCGTCACGACATAGAAAGAGGGGTGAGCAGTGGAGCGCTAATAATAGAGGACTTCTCATATTTTGTGTGGACATAGGAACGCCTTCAGTTGAAAAATTCTTCAGAGAGATACCGAATTAACTTGTTTTTTTTATAATGGGAAAAATGAGCCCTGCAGCAGTTACGGATCTCTTCATTTGGAGTGTTCATCCTTAGTAGCTATCTCTTAGGAGCGGATAAAGGAATTTGAAAAATCTAAATTTTTCCTTTCCTAAAGAGTGTTTAAACTTCTACAAACGTTTGATTCTTCTACTTGTTCCTGGTATGTTTGTGCTAGTGCTAGTTTTCAATATTCAAACCCTCATAACTTCCTTCATAATTAACTTTTTGCAGATCTCCTAGGGCTAATTAGAGAATAGAAAATTAGCGCCTTCGAAAAAGCACCAAAACTTCTTTCAGAGACCACTTTCAAGAGATAGTCTTGTTGTTCCGTTTCCCACTGGTTTGTACCCCTATTTTTCAGAGCGTGCCAGTTTTCGACATTCAAACGTTCATAACCTCCTTCACAGTCAATTTTTGTAAATTTATAGGGATCAGAATTTAGAAGATTAGTGATTTCAAAAGAGAAAACTGGAAAAATATTCCCGTCGTTCCGATATTTTTTCATGGCTTTTTTTTTGCTCCATTATATTGAAGCATGTGATTTCAACAATCGAACGCTCATAAATTTCCTCGATTTTTTCTCGATTTGTATCGTGAGAAGAGGCAAAAACTTCAATGCGGTAAAAACCTTCGAAATCCTCAAGATCTGTGCCTTATGACATATGCGAGACCCTCCTGAAAATCTCTGAAATGTAAACCTTTCGCGTGCTTTTACTTTCCATTAGAATTCTAGTAATGAATTCGCCAAATTTCTTGCACTTTCTCCCTCGCTAGTTTGCTCTGACATCGAGATTTTTTTTGAAAGATTCTTTCTGCTCGCCCATGGAGGTATGAAGTGATTTATTAAGAATTTCTCCTATGAGATGCGCCATTCAATCGTCTGTGATGAGTAGTCTGATGGTTGTTCAAAGTCTGTCCTCCTTTGTCCGTTTGCCATGCCTTGGTACTTTCAAATTTTGTGACTGATACAGCTACTTCTACAGCTCATCTAGGTGCCTAAACATGGTTGGTTCTTCCAAAATATTACATACACATTAGCCCTTATCCCGTTTTTGTTCACCACCCAGCATTCTTGGAAAACGTTCGCAAGGCAAACTGCAGCGAAAAACAGCACTCAACAAACAAAAACTGATAATTCAGTTTTCGAATCTCCACCCACTCCCCCACCTCCTTCCACTGGCCAAATAAAACTTGGCGCAACGGCGGTTAACCTTGACTTCTTTCAACGCTTTGTTCGTTATTCATGGACGTGAAACGCTGTGATTTCCGGGTTTAAGCGTCTAAAGAATTTTCAACTTGTCTTCAAAAACTAAGGTCAACTTCGGATTATTTAGCTTGGCGCTGTGGTACTGATCGCTCCCTTCACCTCTTTGTGGCGAGTAATTCTTCGTCGTCCCAATATCATGGAATCATCTCGCCTGGATATGTTCAAGAAGTAAGACTAGAAAAGCTACATTATAAATAAAGATATAGTGCGCGAGACTGCGATAAGCCATGCCTCGTACTCCTGGTCCAGCTCATATCTCGCCGCCTGATTAGGTGTGTCCATGGATTTAAAGCGGCCTCGCCGCGCTTGACAGAATTTCTGTATGAGCTGCTTCTAAGATACTGGCTGGATATCAGCAAAGCATGCAGGAAGAGCTTACTCGTCCAACTTCCATCGAGTGCGGCTGCCGCCAGGGCAAATTGGTAGATAGGTAGGGATAGGGGGCCACTGAGTTACCGCCATCTGTCTGATAACAACAAAAATAGTCTTAGAAGGACTTATTTGTGACACTGAACAGAACGGAAATGGATTCCTCTGGATGCAAAACCTTCGATCAGGATGAGATTCGAACTCACGCGGGGAAACCCCAATGGATTAGCAGTCCATCGCCTTAACCACTCGGCCACCTGATCACATGACGACGTGCCTGAATGGTACTTCGTAATTTGGCGTACTGTTAATAGTAGTTTTATCCCTGGGAAAGTTCACTTGTCTGTCACTCTTTCCTCTTTTTATTAACCCAGGTAAAAGAGACTCTGCAGAAGTCCCGGGGCACCTGAGTTGTTCTAAAGAGGAAATATTATACTGACTCGGTCACCTACTAGCTTCTGCAAATCGTTTTGTATATCAAACACATTTTTTGCATTTATTTCAGAAGTTGAGTACGTGACTTATCGTAAAAAAATTCATCATCGCTGACCTTTCTAACTTTTCATGACTTGATCGATATTGGAATTAGATTACAGTTATGACAAGGCTCAGGACATTAAATGTCCGACACTCGTCTGTCACGGCAAGGACGATACGATCGTCGATCATCACCATGGCCTTGCAATGAAAGAAAGAATAGCGAACAGTGAATTGTTCCTCATTGCCGCCAGTCATCAGGTGATTTTCACATATTTTCTGTTCTCAAAGAAGTTGCTTCCAATATTATCAGTTGAAGGCATGCCCCAGGATCACATTGGTGTGGCTCATGTACACAAATGCAAATGCATTGGTGCGAAGTGGGCCGGCAGTAAAGAAAAAGGGAAAGAATCCGTCAAAAACGTTCAGATTAAAGGCTCGCTCAAATTCCTAATTGGCTGTGCTGAGGGAATGAGAGACTAAACGCGGAGAGGAGAGTATGGGACGAGAGAGCGCTGCAGATGAGAGATCGCCAGACAACTGATAAGAGAAAAAAGTCTGCAGCTTGGGCAGATTACTATGTAAAGCCCAAGCGTTCTTATTGGTTGGGTTCCGTGCACGAGAACGCCACATTTGTGATTTTCCTCTAGGGGTCTATACTACAGACCGAAGAGAAGCGTTTACACGACCTCTGCCTGGGTTGTGCCTTTGAAAGAAAAGATATGTAGAGCTACGGCAGCAAATACCCATTCGGTGTTCAGGCACAATAATCCAAAAACTCCATCATATCTCGCTAGCCCATTCACCACCAAAGCTCCACCCCTCTGCAGCATTAACATGTATGATCGCAACCTTCCCAAGACTGAGCGTGAGATAGATGCTTCTGGAAAGAGTCATTCAGTAGTCATTCATCTCAATTTTATCCAGGGTATATTTTGCGAGAGAAAAATGTGGGACGATGTCAATAGATTTCTTCGCGAAAAAGTCAATATCGCAGCCGCATGGGTGGAGGCTGTAGAGGAAACCACGTCAGATATTTCAGCAGCGATTTATGGCTAAGGTTTTGTTCGTAAGTTTGACTACAGTAAAGTATTATTACTGAGACTATCCTATGGAATGAAACTTATGATCATTTTTTAATCTTTCTATTTTCTATTTCAGATGTGATGATGGACAACTATAGTATTAGTGCATGTTTAATTATTCATGAAATGCGACAAGTATTCAACACTTAAAAATGTTCTTATACAACAGGAGTGTTTATAATGAATACTTTTGTAAATATGTATCATTTCACAAAATGATGACGTTGTTGCAAGTAACATGAAGAAATCGCCTGGTGTTTTTCGAATGCGCCATGCATTTGTCTTCCACAAATTCACAACTGTGTTGAGTGCGGCCTGATCCACTCGAAGATCGGCTATTGAACAAATCAGGACAAGTCTGGGGGCAACGGGGCTCGGGGTGGACGCACTCTGTAAAAAAAAAGCATCTCGGACTAGGCCTAGGCAGCAGGGAATAACTCCGGAGAACACGCAAACTGCTTCTGAGCACCGTAGTCCGTCTCCTCTTCAAAATATTTAATCTTGAACCTGACCGTTTCCGTGATCGTGACGCAATGTTGCGTGGTGCCCTCCTTCCCCGCCCAAGTTTTTCATCAGTCCAAGGGGTCAGAGAGGTCGAAGGCTTGATCAGCTCATAAGAGAACTGAGTCTGATTTGATCCCTCAGCCATATTCGTGTTAGCAGCGCCTCCTGCTTTTGCGCCGTTCGTCCAATGACTCATCATACACTCTGGGATAGGAGAAGTGTGTAATTACGGTATCTTCTCAAACCCTATTCATTATTTATTGTTCGTTATTTTTGGACGACATACTAACAACAATACCAAAAATTAGATGAAGATCTGTAGCACAGTGGTTAGGGGCACCGGGCAACACTGCAGTGACCGCTACGATTATTCGCTGACCGCACTCCCTACTTTTCAATGAAGAGATCTCAAGAAAAGAATGAAACTACAAAAAGAAAGATATGTAACATGTGAGTGAGAAAACGAGACACAGTAGAATTATTAAGCTTCCAGGAATGAGATATGTGTAACAGAGAAAGAATGAGAAATGGTGAAAAAATATTTTAAAAATGCAGAACATAAAAAAATGGACAGACTAAAATACACCTGCAAAAAAAGAAGCAAATTTACTTGGCTTGGGAGGAAACTACCGTTTCTTATTCTTAGTGTTTCTCTCTCCATCGGGAAGGCTCGCAGGTCTATTTCAGTAAGCGTGGGGGGGGGGAAATGTGGTTCAGAGCGCTCAACGTGTTTAGAACCACGGTTACCATATTATCCAACTGTAAAGTTTAGAACTGAGCTTTAGAAGTGAGGGAAAATCCCCGAAGTCGTGAGTGAGCAATCTTCGTTTTCCCCGGGGTGACTCCTCACTAGGGTGAATATCGGTCGAGGAAATCCTCGACAGGGGGTCGTACCTGTCAGGCTGGGTCATGGGGGGTCATACTTTTGGGGGTCAGTAACAGCAGCGGTATCGTGGTGCAGATAGGTAAGAGGGTATAGCGCAGCAGAAAATGAATCTGAAAAAACATGATATTAGATTTTCGTTACAGGTTCAGGCGCTCCATTCTTCCACCTTCATGAGAAGGGCGTATTTGAAGGCAGCACAAAGAATGAAAGTGCATCCAGCAAAAAAGTCTGCCACATGTGCGCACGCGCTGCAACGGCACCTCTGCCTACCGCTCGCTCGTTCTCCCTTAATACCTCGCTGAGAATGACACTGTTGTTAGGGACACTGTCGCAAAAACGGCAACTTTGAAGAAAAAGGCTGGGCAAATGAAGTTGTTCTTCAGATAGGAGTTACGAAATTCTTTCTGTCAACTGGTCATGATCATATGACACCTTCGAATCGATTCTGCAACTGTGATGGAAGACGCATGGCTTATACCAATGCGAAATCGGATTATGACGATTGCCCCTTTTCCTATTGCTCATGTTGGGAGGATGTTTCCTAGGCCCATTTCAAGCGTTGCCAACAATCACACTTGCAACGGTGAAGGAGGGAGCGGATTTTCAGGTGACCGGATCCGTCCTCGTTACATACTCGACGCAGATATCTTCCCAACTAGGAAATGTAGAAGAAAGCTAAGAAGACCATCAGAAAACGCAGACCTTCCGCTTTTCAAAACTGCCTTCCCTTCTTCAAGACCTTACAACATTAGAGAGATATTGCTTTTGAAGTGGCAAAAACTAGCATGAAAATTTCCATCCTCGACGTTTACTCGACAAAATTTGAGAGACCCTATCTTTCTGCATGGAAGACTTTCGGAGCAACTTCAATACTTGCTGGAAACGTGAAATCCAGCTCTATCTAGCCTACCTCAAACTGCTCCACAGGTTATGAAATGGAGGAATGCAACTTTTTCATCGAGGGTGTAGATTTCGACGGTTTTTTTTTCGGGAAAGCAGCAAATTTGACCCAGTGATAATCGCGCCGCAGCTGCCGTTGAATCGGCTTGAATCGGCCGTTGATTGATACAATCGGCTGTTTCGATATAATCAAGCAGGATTTAAGATTGAATCGCAACCCCGTGCCTTCTTATTGGCGACACTGTACGCGAACACAGATTAATCACACTTGTCTCCTCACTCCTTCGTAATGCCTCTTTCCTCGAGTCGATATTTCAGTAAATACACAAAAGTGTGCAGCGATGAAAGACAGTGCATAGATGACAAGATGAGACGTCCATAACATCATTTTGCAGGATTCATTTTGATTAGTTAACTGAATTAATTTGCTCTGTTTTAGGGGATCGTGGCAGGATCTCGAGTTTCGGGGGGGGGGGGTGGGGGTCGTACTTATGGGACCACGTACTCGACACGATTTTCACCCTGCTCCTCACCCTTCCTCACTTAGTCCTATGTAGTTAATAACAAGGTAAATATTACTCTTCTCAGGCGTTTTTGTCATACTCCTATAAGCAAATACGCTATGTAAAACTAGAAGAAACAACGTAGGGATGAAGCTGCCAATAGTTTGTATTTTAAATGAGAGCCAAACTGGCTTCCAATTTCGGTAAGAGAAGGCATGCTGTGCAGAGTGTGCTCAAATGCCAGTTTGGGCTCAGGAGCTCTGTGATGTTAAGAGCTGCTCTCAGTTAGGGTTAATCTACTGTTGGACACAGTCCAACGTGGGGGATCGAGGGGAGAGGGAGTCTTATTGCAGTAGTCAACGTCGCGTTGCGTGGAATGGCCCAATGTAACACAGCTACGAATAAAGCCTTGGACTAACAAGGGAGGTCGTTTAGGGTGTGGAGCGCTTTTTCAAAACGGTTTCTAGCATGCTGTAGGGGCTCTCACAGGAACGACAATACTATTTTTCATTTTCGCTGAGCGGCCTTCTGAAGGCCAAAAATTGGTAGGGAAGTGTTAAAGGTTCAATCCCTCTTGATGACAGAATTTTTGCACTTTAGTTGGAGCTTCGAAATTTCCTTAAAATAGCGCCAGCACCAGTACTAGGTATCGTCTCATCATTAAGACCATGAGCAAGAAATGCAGTCAAACTTTTTCCAGAATCTGTGGAAAAAAGTTGTAGCGCCAGAAAGGCGCCAAAGGGCGCCAAACTAGCGTAAATTGAAGCTATCGGATAAAATTAATGTCATATTTATCTGGGCACTCGATATTCCCTAAATCAGAAGTTCTTGAGAAAATTGAGAATTTGACCTGGATCCGAAAAATTGGCCAGTGATAGGTCAGTAGCCCATAGTTGCCTCCAGCCGGTGCACTGGAAACGAGTTCCCACTTATCCTTCTCAAATAACGAGAAGTATCACTGCTAAATGGACAATGGGAGACACCCAGGCTGGTAATGGGCAACAGGGCACCATGATTTTGAAGTCGGCAGATTCTCCCCTTCATCAAGACGTGGTGGTAATTGGATCCACGGCTCCTCCACTCGCAAGGCTGCGTGTCCATATATAGAGCGATTTCAAGGATTGCGACATGATGGAAGATGTTCCCTATGAACCCGACTTTTAGTTCCCGTGAGCCGACAAGGCATTGCGCTTAACTTCGGCGCCACTCGTATTCAAGTCGCTCGGCTACAGGTCGTCATTCCTGTTGCCCATGGGCACCCTCTTTTTCGAAGTTAGGTCAAAACCCCGATTTTTCTTGAAATTTGGCATGTAGGGGTAGATTAGGGTCCTGAACACGATTATGGCATTCGTTTACATATCATTAGAGTTCGAGATGATTCTTTCTATCCAAACCTT